GCTGAAGTCGGACGCTTAACCGACTGCGCCACCCAGGCGCCCCGAAAATGAGTCTTAACGTGCGTCAATTTTATTTTATTTTTTTTTTTTATTTTTTTTTTTTCCAACGTTTATTTATTTTTGGGACAGAGAGAGACAGAGCATGAACGGGGGAGGGGCAGAGAGAGAGGGAGACACAGAATCGGAAACAGGCTCCAGGCTCTGAGCCATCAGCCCAGAGCCCGACGCGGGGCTCGAACTCACGGACCGCGAGATCGTGACCTGGCTGAAGTCGGACGCTTAACCGACTGCGCCACCCAGGCGCCCCAACGTGCGTCAATTTTAAAAATCTTTCAGGGGATCACAGGATAGAGTACGGAATGTGACAGTCACCTAAGTACGGTAGAAATGTGTGAACCAGCCCTCGGAGAGGTGGTGCTGACCCCGGCCCTTCGGGTAGTGGTGGTGGTGGAGGTGTTGATACTGGGGACTGAGGGACCGGACACAGGACCGCACTGCCGTCCGCAGAGCTCCCCGCACAGGGCACAGGGCAAGCGTCCCGCGCCGCCGCTCAGCTGCACAGAGTGAAGGTGCAGGTTTTGGGAGCCGGGGCTTCAGTGTTGGGAGGAGGTGACATAAGCGAGGGGAGGAGGCGAGAATGAGCCTCATGGCGAAGGGTTGAGCACAAGTCACGTTTAGCTTCATACGGACACAGACGTCAGGTGCGCGTCGAGACATCTCCGGATACACGTCCGGGCACCAGTGAGTCCGCATGCGGGGCGTTGCTCTGCTAGCACGCCCAGGGCCCAGGTGCGGGTTTCCACAGCGCTCTCCAACAGGACCACGAGGCTCCTTGGAGAAATTCTAGGACAGAGGCAGGAAATGTCACAGGAGCCTGGAGTCAGACAAACTGTCCCAGCCTGGGGGGCCTAAGGACACGGGGCCTGGAAGGGATCCTGGGACACAGAGGACACCAGGGAAGCACGGAGGAAACGAGAATTAAGTGGAAACAGTCGGGAGGAGCCACCGCTGCCGACCCAGTGCCGTTCGTAACAGCGTCACGCCAGAACCCAGTAAACGGGCTAGAGACACTCGTGTTTGTACGTGGCATGTGGGACAGCAGCCTGTTCTGGCAGGACGAACGGCCAAAACGTGTCGCAGGGACAGGCTGAGCACAGAGGAGTAGGGGGAGGGATACGTATTCACTTCTGTTCGTTAAGCCTGGGAACTTTACAGACTGACCCAGACGTTGAATCAGTATGTTTATGCCTGAAAGCAATACGACGTTATTGTCATCGTACTTCAGTTTAGCAACTTAAACTGCTGACGCTCTCCCTGTACCCTGATCTGGGCCCTCTGTCGTGGCGCAAGACCCCCGGCATGCGAGCAGCCACGCCTTCAAGGAGCCCCGAGTTCTTTGAAGGAAGGTTTCTGTTCTCTCAGAGAGCGGGCTCTGGCCCTGTGAGCTGCCCAGCCACAGGCCTGCGCCTGTCCTGAGCCCCCGTGTCCCCCTACAGAGAGGCCAAAGAGCACTGTGGTGACCGGAAGCTGGCCGATCTGATCCCGGGCGCAGCGGGCATGGCCTCGCTCAGGTGTAACGCCAGCGGCGGCAAGATCAGCATCCTCCTCAGCAAGGTGGGTGCGCGGCGGCAGCTGCTCCCCGGACCGCGGCCTCCTCCGGCCGTGCCCACTGTGCCCCCCTCCCCCGGACCGCGGCCTCCTCCGGCCGTGCCCACTGTGCTCCCTTCCTGCCACGAGACCTGAGCCCCCACCTGTCCCCAGTCCCTAGTTCCTCTGAGACAGCGGGTCCCCCTGTGCAGGGTCCCCCTCTGCACCTCTTCTCTTTTCTGTACCTTTTCACCAGCCGGCTGGGTTCCCTTGGCATGAGGGGGCAGCAAGGCCCTCTGAGCCTCTGGCTTAGAGAAGGCAAGGACAGCCAGGGAGCAGAGTCTGACAGAAGGGACGCGGACACGTCTGTCCTGCCCTGCAGGCAGTGAGCCTTGCTGCCCACGAGTGTTTGCTTGCGAATCCATTCTTTCACCACCTGCTTCCCGGTTGCCTTCCGGGAACCAGACACTGTGTTGGGCACCGCGGACACAAGCCGATGCTTAATTAGGAGAGTGTGGCCCCTTCCTGTGGACAAACAGACGTCCATCAGAGACGGTCCAACTGCGGGCCATGCTGGGCGGGAGGCTTCCAGACGAGCATGTGGCAGGGGCAGGGGAGGCACAGGGAGACGCGCCCGGAGTATAAGCAGGTGGTACAGCACGACCCGAGGGCCTGCCATCCCTGGCAGAGGGTGGAGGCTGAGGCCGGCACGGTCAGTGGGCCATCACACGGGCGCCGGCCTTGGCGCAGGGGCAAGACAGGACCGTCACGTAGCATCTTTCTACAGGTTGCTTCTCAGCGGTGGGGGGGGTGTGCAGAAGTCTTCTGGGGGTTGGGGATCATCTGGGGCGGGGGGCACGGATGGGCGGGGACTGATTCCACCCCGGGCAGCCACGTAGAGGTTGAAAGGGGGACGGTCGGGCATCCTGTCTCAGTGCTGAGTTCGAGGCTCCTCAGGGCGGCACGTGGGCCAGCGAAGACAAGCCTGAGTCTCAGAGGCTAAGTCTGGCTGGAGATGGGGGTCCTCGGGCGGCAGGAGGGCGGTGCCAGAGCCCAGGGGCACGGAAGCAGAAGCAGGGTGGGCATCCCAGGACACGGCACCATCTCCCTGCCGCTGGGGTGAATGCATGGCACGGGCGGGGACAGTGCGGTGACCTTAAGGGACAAAAACATCTCTCCTTGCACCAGGAATTCTTGTCCGCGGTGAAAGAAAACATGGCAAAGAAATAAAGTTCAGGCAGCACAAGCGAGCTTGTGGTGAAAACCAGCTGTCCCCAGCCCCGCTGGCGCTACCCGCGGGAGTGTGCACTTTGGAAAGGAGGGGCTGGCGCGGGCAGTGGTCCACCGTTCCCCTGGGCGGGGGGCGGGGTGGGGGCAGGAGGCTGGGCACCTTCAGTGTCGCTGACGCATCTCCCGGTTCGTTGTTGGTCTTTCCTCTCGCGGACGGTGTTTGTGATGAGAAACCGCTGCCATCGGGCTTACGGTGTTCTCTGTCTGAAGTTTTGAGGGGCTGATCTTCTAGTTTTTCTTGAGTCCTCAGGCCCCATTTAGCGTTCTGCTGCCTGGTAAGACAAAGCCTTGCACAGTCTCCCCGAGTCGTTGGCATTCGTTCCCCCACCAGCCGAGCTCCTCCCCTTCTTTCGTCTTCATTCGCCTGTGTGAGAACTGGCGCGTGGGGATCCACTCCTCCGTGTCCCTGTGGTTCATCCACCTCAGCCGGACAGCTGGCGTTGGACCTCCACAGTGTTCTAGAGTTTCTCGGCCCCCTGAAATTACAAAGTACCCCCCGGACAGCTGTCTCAGTGGGACGACGGTGCACCGACACCCACGTTAGGAGTGCTGGAGTGGCCGGCGGGTCGTGGACACCACACGCTTGTTCTCAAACCCACGGGGTGCCAGCCACACGGTTCCGTGAGCCCCGTTTTGTCTTCCCCTAGGCTGACGGCAGCCCCGATTCCAAAATCTGCTTCTACGACGTGGAAATGGACACTGTGACTCTCCTGGACCTCAAGACGGGGCAGATTGATCGGAGGGAGACGCTGTCCTTCAACGGGCAAGAGACCAAGAAGTAAGGCTATGATTCGGCGGGACTTCAGTGTAAAGCTAGTGAAAATGATACACAGCTTCTGAGCAGGTGGTGGCTGAGTGACGCTCCAGACTTGAAGCCCCTTAGCAGGTGGTGGTGGAGGAAACAGTGAAGCCAACAGCCCCGACAGTTGGGATGGATGGGAGCCCCTGGGGTCCTGGAATTACCCGGCAGAAACGGGCTTCTGGAAGGGCAGTGGCAGCCATGGGCACACGGTGGCCCGGATGTTGGGGGGGAGTGGCGGTCACTCAGCCTTGTCTGCACCTGGGAAGGGAGCGCGTCTGTCTGGGTGGTGGTGTCTTTCTAGAAAAGTAATCACTGCTCTTCAGGGAGTTCGTATAACCTGTGTTTGAGTTCCTGCTGCTGCCAGGGACACGCTCGCCCTGCCCCACTGAGGGCTCACTTCTGACTCTGGAAAGTGACACCTGAGGGCCCAGTGCGCGGCTCAGGACCCAGGGTGCACACTGCGGCCGGCACCCACAACGCGTGCCCGACAGCAGAGCCCGAGGCCGGCCTTGCCGGGCACCTGCTCCTTTTCTCTGTTACGGTCCCCTCCCACTCCACTGCTGAAACCCTTTTCCAGAACCTTCTTTCTCCTGGGGGCTTAAACTGGTCGCCACTGGCGGCCCTGCCCGAACAGGCCCGTCCTCACCTCTCCCCAGCCTCGCTCCGCTTTCTCGGCCCCAAATGTCCGCTGGAATCTCTTGTCATCACCTGCACCTCATTTCCAGAGATCACTCTTGTCTCGGCTGTGTGCTCGGAAACCTCACAGCTCACCTCTCCCTTAGTCGCCTCGGCTGGGACTCGTCCCATTTCCCTTGTTTGAATCGTGTCTCAGACTCACGCTTTCCCTCTGCCCTCCACCTTCAAGCCACGTCCTCCCCGGCCCGGCCTGTCACTCCTCCGGTGGCAGCAGGGACAGTGCGTGGCCTCCCCGCAGACTCCCCTCCGCTTCTGAGATCTGACCTTCCTTTGCCTCCAGACCCACCTTGTCTGTGGGCAGCACACCTACCCCTCGGCACGTGTCCGCCCTACAGGACGCGAGGTCCACACCGGTCCTGGCAGGCGCCCTCTGTGGAGTCTCCAGAGCCAAAGCGTCACACGCCCTCCGACGAGGCTGCCCTGGGCCTCTTTGACTGGCTTTGTTTGATGTGAGCGTGCCCCCTGCAGGCTGGCTGCAGCGTGCTGTGGGAAGCGGCCCCGGAGCAGGCAGTCTGTGGAGCGCACAGCAGCCTGCGGACGCGGACGCCGACCCTGGGCACGCGTTTCCAGAGCGCATCTCAGCCCTCGGGACTCAGGATGGGCCTTCTCTTTCAGGAGCCCTGCCTTTGCGGACGAAAGACTGAGGGATCTCGTTCCCGTGAGCCACTTCTGGGACCAGAGCGAGCCCAGGCTGTTCGTGTGCGAGGCCGTGCGGGAGGCGCCGGGGGCCCCGCTGCAGCCCGGGGACAAGAAGCCCCCCGCCGAGGACGGCCCGGACCTCACGGTACCCTGACTGCGTCGTGGTTGTCTCTTGGTGCAGGGGTCTGGGCAGGTTCACGGTCCTGACGTGGTTTATGGGAAAGCTGGAGGGAGGTTGGTGCCCGTTGAGCAGACTGCCTCCTCAACACGTGGCCTGCGTGGCCTCTGGGTTTGTGTGGTGGTGGGCCCCACCCTCTCTGTCTGCTTCCACTCGGGCTGTCCTGTTTTAGTTCTCCCATGACGTCGAGTGCTGCATATTACTTTCTCCCTGGGACCGAGCCTGCCACCCTAACGGTTAACAGAGCTAACCCATGGCGGGCGTGTGTCCTGGGGCTGGGTCAGCAAGGCCGGTTCCCACTGACCTCCTCGCCCTGGCCCCTGACCTCCACCCTACCAGGCACCCCCCACCCATCCCCCCGTAGCGTCCAGGACTCTGATGCTTTCCTTACGTACGTTGTCAGAACGTCTGGAGCTCCCCGGGAGAGGCCAGCGGCCGGCTGTGCCTCCCTGTGATGACCTTGTTCCGAGAGGGGTCTGTAGCCGGTCCCAGTAAGTCGGCAAGGGCAGCCAGCCTGCTGACGCTGGCGGCCTTGTGTCCCTGCCAAAGGAAGCCCCCCCTCCCCAGGGGGGTGAGCACAGGGCCCAGGATTATCAGCAGTGGGTGTCTGTGCCCCCAGACATTCAGACGCACGGCCGAACCTTGGTTCTGAAATGCTGAGTGGTAAACAGGTGGCGTCTCCGTGACTCTGTGACGGGAACAGGAGACGGCCCCGGGCGGGCGGTGAGGGTGCGCGCTGATCGCCACTCTGGGGCCCTTGCCAGCACGCTAACCGGGTGCCGCGTCCGGGCTTCTCGAGGAGGGTGAGGCCCGAGAGGGCTTCACCACCTGGACCTCCTGCTGCTCCTGTCCACAGGGGGCTGGACGGCACTGCCGCCCCGGTCCCTCCACCCCCCTCCCTCCCAAGAGCAGATGAGAGAACCTTTCTGCTGCTGTCTTTGAAATGAGAGTCGAGGAGCTGAACAGAAAAACTGACACCCGAGAGTTCTTTGGTGTCATTTACCAGCTGGGTGGGGAAAGATTTGTTTTTGCTACAAGGAAACCCATTCCTAAGAGGGTCTAGCGGCTCTCCACGCAGGATGTGGCACATCCTTCTAGAAGGGGGCTAGTGGATTATCCGCATGAGGCTGTGTGCCCACGTTCGTCCTTCTTCTCTGTGTGTCAACATCCTGGCCGTGAACGTGGGGATCAGATGCACGATGGAAGGTGACATGGTCACACCAGAGCCGACGGCGTCTCCCTCTCCCTCAGGCTGACGTGCTGGTCCTGTCCTTCTTCGTCACCGAAGAGCATGGCTTCTTGCTCCAGGACAGCTTCTCCCGGCCTCCCGCCTACCAGACCCTTCTGGGAATTCAAGTGCCTCACTATTACTTCACGAGGAAGGTGGGAGCCCCGCGAGCGCGGGGCCGCGTTCCCGGGTCCCAGCGGGGCGGGGGGTCTCTGGCGGCCGCGGCTCACCCCCTCATTATGCACCGCGCACCACGTGCTCTAATTTGTGCCCCAAAACTCCAGCAGCTGGGAGGCCCCCGGGTCAGGAAAGTGACAAGCCTTGGCTGTGCCGTCAAGACAGGGTAGCACGGACGTGACGTGTCCGCGGTCCTCGGGTAGGGGACTAACGGTGATGCGGGCGCAGAGGTGGCCCCCGGGGACAGGCCAGCCTGGTGGCTTTTCAGGAAGCATGTCTCACTCACACGTCTGCTTGTTTATTTTCGACGGAACGGGTTTGTTTTCACACACGCGCACGCTCCCAGCTAGCTTGTCTTGCAAAGAGTTGTCTGCCTCCCCTGGGGCTCAGCCTCCTTGTCGCCGGGGTCTCCGGACCCGTGAGTGTCTCGCGGCTCTGCCCACAGCTTTTCTTCATTCCCTTATTTTAAACCATCTCTGCCCTCACACCAGCATTCTTCTGGATTTCATTCTCATTTCACGTACCTCAGGAACATTCGTCTTTCCTTTGACCTGAGGACTCAAAACATCATGAGAGCGCGTTTATGGTTCCTCCTATCGAGTTTTCCTCCTAATTTCCCTGATTTGGTTTGAAGCGGGGCTCAAGAGCGAACAGTCAAGAAAGAGTTCTTGAGATGTTCTGGTACAAAGGGGTGGTTTTATTACGGCAGGGGGACAGGACCCGTGGGCAGAAAGATCCGCACCGGGGTCATGAGAGGCAGAGGTTATCCTTGGGAGTTGGGCGGGCGGAGGATGGTAATGACACGGAGGTTTCCAAACGGACCGTCCGTACGCCGGGGACTCCAGGATCCCAGAGGCCTGGCTGTCGTCCGGCTGAGGGGGTTTTCCCGCTAGCAAAAGCATTACCGACCGTGAAGACAGTGGGGTTCCTGGGGGAATGTCTGCTCTGCCGGCCTCACGTATTTCTCCACGGGCTGCAGGTTAGAAGGAAAGTCAATCTTACCCGCATTTGTCTCGTTCTGCCCATTATTCCCAGCGTGGACTTTGGTTTCTCCCGTTCGCGTGAGCCTTCCGTGTTCCCCTCACCATCCGGCCCCTAGACTTTGCCTCACTCGCACGTGGCCCCTTCTGCTTGCGTTCCTCTGTCCCTCTGTCCCCAGGCTTGTCGGGGAGTCTGATGCCACAGCAGCCCCGGTGTGGGAGCCGCACGCCTCCGTCGCTCCGCATAGCCCCTGTCCTGGCTCAGACTGTGGCTTGAACAGTCCGTCACCATGTTGTAATGCAGGAAATAGTTTATGAACTAGATTAGCAAAAAAGGGAATCTTATTAACTTGATCTCTAAAGTGCTAGTAAGAGGAAGCTGTGAAGCATCATGTTTCTTTAAAAGCTGCCCTTCTCCTGGATTACTGACCCGTATCCGAGGCCGTCAGCACCGCGTCCGGAGGTCCCCTGTCTGCACACTTGAGGGTGTGGATGAGAACGTGACAACCCAAGGTCCCCAGCTCAGTGCCCCCTCTCGGAACAGAGCTGAGGCTCCGAAACGAGGGCAGCGGCCGTTGCCTGTGGCGGGTGAGCCACGGCACTCTTGTTTCTGTGAGAATTCCCCGGCGCAACCACAGTGGGCCCGGTTCTGATCATAATGGGGCACCGGGTCCACAGCAGACTGACCGGCTGGAAGTCTGCCTCTGCCTCGCAGTGTGTGCGCACGTTTTCTGAAAGTTCCCGCTCAGGGCCGACTGCAGCTTTCAGCCTCCTCCTGACGTGACCCGGCCTGCGCTCATCCACCCAGACTGGGGGCTGCCCCAGGCCCTTTGCTTATGCTCTGCTCTGTGCCTGTAAAGGCCTTGCCATCCACACCTGGGTCTGACAAATCCTACCAGTGTTTCAAGTGCCCAAGTTAGAGACTTTAGGCGAACGTCAGGGAGCAGCAAGATGGGGGGCTGCGAAAACCGAGTGGGGGCAGGGGTCACGCAGCAGCAGCCACGGCGATGAGATCTGTTAGGGTTCCTAGACCCAATTCCGCCGTGGCGAGGGAGCCCCCCACAACACGAAGAAAGTCTCAGATACCACCTGGAGGCCTGAGAATTCAACTCCCGTTTTTTTCTTTTTTATTTAACATTCATTTTTGGGAGACCGAGAGCGAGTGGGGTAGGGGCAGAGAGAGAGGAAGATACAGAATCTGAAGCAGGCTCCAGGCTCTGAGCTGTCAGCACAGAGCCCAACGTGGGGCTCAAACTCAGACCATGAGATCATGACCTCAGCTGAAGTCGGACGCTCAACCGACCAGGCCACCCAGGCGCCCCCGTTTTTTTTTTTTTCTTAAAAAGATTTTTTTTACAGAAACATAGTTAATATCCAAAGTTACACTGGCTGCAGGTGTACAACATAGTGACCTGACCCTTCTGTACACGGCTCTATGCTCAACACAATCCAGTCAGTTCTGACACCATGCACCCAGAGACAGCGCCAGGTCCCACGAGTCACGGCCTCCGTCCCGCACCCCCACCCCCACCCATGCTCCCGCCACAGGCCACAGAGTGGAGGGTCCTCCTCGGGCTCTTGCAGCCGGTTAGAGCGGCTCCCAGAGGCCAGGGAACCACGTACTCGCGTTTAGCGGTGTGTGGAGGATGCGATAAAGGACACGAGGCAGCAGCCAGATGAAGAGACGCACAGGGCACGTCCGGGGAGGGCGCAGAGCTCCCGAGTCCTCGAGTCCTCGCCGGGTGCCCCTCCCCCCACCCCTCCCTGCCCGGAGGCCTGCGATCGCAGTCCTGGGCGGTTACGGAGGCCTCGCTGGAGCCCTCTGAGCAGTGGCGGGTCCTCCCGGCAGCCACCCTGCCCCTGGGCAGAGACCCACAGTCACCTTCATTTGAGGCCTTATCATGGGGAAATTCCAGGGGTTTTAACAGCTGTGAGCTGTGAATCTGTGGTGAAGAAATGTATGGTCGTTTGAGTGACCGAGTACACACTTGTTATCAATGACAACGTCCCAGGAGACCAGGGACTAGCCAGGGGAGCCGGGTCCAAGGAGCGTGGGCCGTGACCACCTTTAGAGAGGCAGAGAACTGGGGCCTTCGCAGAGAGAAAAGCGGATGATGCGGGAGGCGGGGCACGTGTGGGCCCCAGGCGAGATGGAGCAGAGCAGCACCTGGCAGGGCGGAAGGGAGCAGGGAGGGGAGGGGGAGGGCCCAGGTGCCGTCAGCACATTGTCTCCCCAGGCCCGTCTGGGAAGCGCCGCGCAGGGTCAGTGGTTCTTCTGAAAAACATCAGTGAGGGCACAAGACTAATCTGGGTTACGGCTTTGGAAAGTTCTGCCGGAAATCGCGTTGGAGTTACTTGATTCTAGGGCCCCGTGCCCGTGCGAGAGCGCCTGGCTTGGCAGCGAGACCTCTCGAGGCTGTGGAGTAACCGAGGGGTCGGCATTCGTGAGCTAGAGGCTGAGGGACAGGTCCCTACGCGGGACAGCCTGTGCTTTCTGCTGCCTGAAACCGGCGCCCACAGCTTTCCCGGTGCCCGGCAGGGACGGCGGCCACCTCCGCGCACGGGCACGCATCTCGAGCAGAGGCTCAGTGTGCGTACCCGCTTCCCCGACCCGACAGCTAACGGTGTCCTTTGTCATTCAGCCAGGAGAAGCAGACGGGGAAGACCAGGGGGACCCGGGGTGCCACCGCGTCCCCCACCTGCTGGGCAGGAGACCCCTGCGAGACTTCGTCGGACTGGAGGGCTGCGATAAGCCCACTCAGGATGCCATGCTCGACTTCAGCTTCTTTGTCACCATCGGAGACATGGATGAAGCTTTGAAATGTATCAAGCTCATCAAAAGGTGAGGACTCTGCTCGCTGAGGTATGAGGGCACGTGTGCACCTCCGGGAGCCTCTCTGTAGGCCTCTGTCGCTTCTCGAGGTTCTGAGAAGCAGTAACTCTTCTGTGACTGTGTCACAGAGGATCTCCTGGTTTGTCACCCATGGAGGCAGGTGAATTAGGCAGCACAGCAGGGCGTGGGCAAGCCCAGCTCCCCTCTGCTGGGCTCAGAGTCTCTTGGGCTGCTGTGTATTTGATTGATTTTTAAGTGTTCCGGGTACCTCCTAGTCAAAAGTTCTGCAATCGCTAGATATTCGCAGTACCTGTTCCTCTGGGAATAATTGCTACTAAACAGGAAGGCTTCGGTAACAGACACCTGAAACAGTACGGGGAAACACAGTTAAAATCGCTCTAAATTTAAAAAAAAATTTTTTTTAATGTTTATTTTTGAGAGAGACAGAGCATGAGCAGGGGAGGGGCAGAGAGAGAGAGAGAGAGAGAGAGAGAGAGAGAGAGAAAGAATATGAATCCCAAGCAGGCTCCAGACCTCGAGCTGTCAGTGCAGAGCCTGATGCGGGGCTCGAACCCATGAACCCCGAGATCATGACCTGAGCCAAAGTCGGACGCTTTACCGACTGAGCCGCCCCAGGCGCCCCATGCTCTAAAATGTTTAATCAAAGGCTGTGTCCAAGCAGCCTCGTCTCCATTCCTGAGAGAATTCAGCAACTCTTCTCAAGAGCACTTACAGGCGTTCACATCCGAAGGGCAGGAAAATTATTACGTGGTGAAAGTGAAGCGGGAACACAGAGATGAAAACTGAACCTGTCACCTAGAACAGCCCCTCGTTTGCAGTGATGGTACTTTTCAAACGAGCACATGACTCCCAGTCCCTTGTCTTATTTCTAAAACTGTGGCCAAACCTTGTTTCTGGAGCAGGCCGTGTCCACACTGACCTCTCTACGAGAGGGCTCTTCACTTGACAGGTGAACCAGAGTGGCTGATGGCACAGCCCAGTCTTTCTCTGGCCTCCTTTCATTTACCATAAACACAATCACAGCTACGTGGTTAGCTTTAATACTTTAATGTGCCTTAGCATAGTCGTATGTGTAACATTATGAAATTGTACATCTTTTTTTACGTTATTTATTTTTGAGAGAGACAGAGTCAGTGAAGGGGTGGGGGGGACAGAGAGAGAGGGAGACACAGAATTCGAAGCAGGCTCCAGGGTCTGAGCTGTGAGCGCAGAGCCCGATGTGGGGCTCGAACTCACGGACCGTGAGATCATGACCTGAGCTGAAGTTGGACGCTCAACTGGCTGAGCCCCCCAGGCGCCCCTGAAATTGTACATCTTAACTGTTTCATTATTCTTTTAAAAATCTATTATTTTTAGCATGTGCTTGGGGGGTGTGGAAGGGTCCATTGTGGAAGGAAGCTCGGAGGGAGGAAGGTCAGACTTAAACGTTCCCATGAGTGTGCTGGGGTGGGACACAAATCTGGTTATTTCTACAGCATGTGATGAGTTTATTGTAAATGGTCAAGCTTTAGATGCTTTTCAGTCGTTCTCAATTGCATTATGATTTTTAAAGCACGAGCCGCACTGCACTGTTTGTCTCACTGAAGACAGGCTCCACACAGCTACCTCATGCTCACCAGAAGGTCGAAAGAGCGAGGCTTAACGTTTTTTAGTGGGAGGCGGCCTGGCTTGGGGGGAGGCGGCCTCATGTTGGGGGAGGCGGCCAGCGGGCCTCTGATCTGACCCTGGTTTGGTGTGCTACCCGCGGGCCCCAGTGTCAGCTTCCTGGGGATCACTGCCGCCAGGTGGCGCAGGGCCAAGCATTTCAGTGCACAGGAAGCGTCCAGGTGGGTGCGGTGGGCACTCTGTCCTGACAGATGTGGACAGGCATCCGGGGTTCTGGAGGGTGAGGGCCGGTGTTGAACCCCTCAAGTGCAACTCTTCAGTGTTTTCCGTTTGGCCTGGGGAGTAACAGCTGACTCACCTCCTCCCGATTTAGGACCAGTGTCATTTGGAATCAGTGTCGTGTCACGAAGGCATCTGTAGACCACCCAGCATTTGGCTGAAGCTAGGTTGAAGGTTTTTATAGGGGGAAAAGCGTAAAGCGGTCTCTCTGAATTTTCTTAAACAAATAAACGTTTCCCCCCTTACCCTGCCAGTGGAGGATCTGTCTTACCACAGTGTTCGTCTGCAGGCCCTTGGTGGCGCAGGAGTGTAAGGGCCTGAGCGACCCACAGGTGTCTTCCCACCGGGCCTTTAAAAATGTTTCAAGCCTTCTCTTCCTGCCGGCCCACAAAATGCCACAAGGCCAGACCAAATTCTTTTCACCCGCGTGGCAGCGTGATGGATAAAACACGAGTTTCAGACAGTGGTGGGAAGTTTGCATTTTATTTTAACTTAGAAAAATAATCAGGAGCAAAACGGACATTACTGACACAGTCCTGTCATAAAACCGTAGCCATCTGGTTGTAAATTCTAAGTCACTCGAGGAAGATCACGGACCGTTCCGGAAAATCTTCCCGGGTAGTCTGCTTTACCAAAGTAAATGTGACCGAGGACCCACCCCTCAGCAGATAGAGAATAAATTAATCCTAGACCGAGGCGCAGAGTGAGCTGGCTGCCATCCTTGCACCTGAGGAGCTGCTCTCCTCCTGGAACGTGCGGACAGTGAAGCCCAGTGGTGGGCGCATCAGGAGCGTGGCGCAGGCGGTATATAACCACGTAATATGCTTATGTGTAACGTAGTAAACGTAGCTGTGGGTCGTACATGTATATATGGGAAACCCTACGGATGGCCCGCACGGACAGCCCTGCGGCTTCTACGCTGTTTGGTTATAGTGGAGAAAGTCCTGAGCAGGTGTCCCCCAGCGGCCCTCAGCACGGTGACTCCACGTACTCGTTGTCCAGCCCTCGGCGGAACCGCGCGGTCAGGGAGCGGCTGATGACAATCACCCGGGGTGCGATGCAGTCCTCTCTCCTGTGAAGGATGTTCCAGATGAGCATGGCGGCTGCCAGGGTGGCCAGGAGGCAGGCACCAATGTTCAGGTAGCAAGACCAGGACAGGCTGGTGTACGGGCCGATTCTGTAGAACGTCACCAGCCCGATGACCAGGACGAAACCTGCAAGTGAGAGAGGAGAGTTCAGAAAGGCCCGTGTGGGGCTGGGGCAGGACCGGCCACTCGGTCTGTAGAGCCCTGCGGACACGCAGCCCCTGCTCCCCCTGTGGGCCGTCGCCCCTTTGTGTGCCACGCTTCAGCGTGGAGCCGCTTTTCATTGGCCTCTGTGGGCCTTTATGACCTTTGGGGGGCCGTCTAATCCTGGCACGGAACAATTTCCGGGGGCCCCGCGAGAAAGCTGCCTGGTCCCGGCGCACTCTCCCTTTGGTCCAGCAGGGCCGGGCCATTTCCTCTGCGTGAGCTGCTCCCGGCTTGCAGAAATGCTCCATTCGAAAGTAAGGCGTCCCTTACTCTCCCAGTTTATCGGCTCTTGCCTCAGGGAAACGCAGGTTTCGTGCCTGGGGCCTGCCGCCTAGGATAACAGGACACTGGTGTTTGATAGAGTTCAGGGCTGAGTCCGGGCCGGGAGCCCCTACGGGCACGAAGGAGAGGCCCCGCCACTCCTTGTGTGGGTCTCCGACCCCTCAGCCAGGAGGCGCCGGATGAGGCCGCAAGGAGGCGTGATGCCGAGCCGGAGCCGTGGCCGGAGTGGCCGGCGTGGCTGGAGAGGGCAGGGAGGGCTGGGCAGAAGCAGGGGCCTGGGCGGCTCTCACCACACCTCTGCTGTGGCGACCTAGGGGAAGCCGTGTCTTGGAACCCAAAGCACCTGACGAGGACAGAGCTTCTTACAGTGATCCGGACGGAACCCTGGGCGCCTGCCGGACTCGCCCGTGTCCCCCGCCCTGGGCTCTGGCCAGGCCAGCCTCCCGCTGTGGTCCCTCCCCCGCCCTGTGCTGTGACATCCGTCCGTCTGTTCCTGTGGTCCCTCCGTCCCCCACAGCCTCCCCTGCTTTCCTCAGGAAACCAGACCCTGCACGACCCCCGTGGCCCCGGAGCTGAGCCACAGTGGTGCCAGCTCATGGTTCTGGAAACTTATAAATTAGTGCAGGACGGGGGCAGGGGTAGGGGGGAGCCAGCTTTCACAAGCAGCACGGTGTCATTATTGCGGCACCTTCCAGAAAGCATGAATTAAACATTGATCCACCCCAGTCATGTGCTAAACAATAGTGGCAGTGACTAATCTCTGTTAATTCTCTGCAGTACTTAGGAGAGCTTTTTATACACAGAAAGCTTCTGGATACTTCCTTTCTGTTAAAAATAACTATTTCTCTTTGTCATGCACACTGACAGAAAGAATCTTCTGGCGTTTCTCTCTCCTGGTGAAGAGTGTATCCCTTGCTCGTCGTTCTGTGGCCCCAAGTTTTGTGTTGTCGGGGAAAGGAGTTCGAGTCTGTGTTTTGTGCCATGACAATGAAAACACTTGGTGTGTGCCCCTCAGTTCTCTGTGTCTTCGGGCATTTTCTGCCGGCGAAGGGAGCTCCTTGTGCACCATTTTCCACAAGGCCTGGCAGGATGGGGCAAGCAGGGAGCACCAGGAGAGCCAGCGAACGCGCAGGGTCGTGCCTGAGGTCACCCAGGAGGCACCGGGACGGGTGCTCCCACAGGGCAGGCGGGAGCCTTCTGTAGGGAGCCAGGCCGAGCAGAGGGCACGCCAGCGGGTGGGAAGGGGTTCACCCGAATGGCCGCCGCGGTCCAAGTCTGTGCCCGCCCGTTGCCGGCGTCCGGCGTCCTTACGCTGCTTATAGGAATGTCTGTAAACCTCTGCTCTGCGGCCTGAGCCCCGGTTCTGCAGCGTCATTTGTGGGGGTGGACAGGCCCTCCCCAGCTCCGCGGCTGATTGGGGTCGGCCGACAGCACTGAAGAGTAAGGACGGGTCTGTGGAGTCCGTCGCGAGACATTTCGGGACAGGCCGGTGCAGAGCTGGCCCTGAGCCGGAAGGACCCAGGCCCCCTAGCTCTCCGGCACCGGAAGGGAGAAGGCGCCTGTCACTCAGATGCGGGTGCCGGGCCGCCCGCCTTTGCCAGGCCTCGAGTCTCCGCCTCCGCCCTCTGTTAGGCTGCAGCCACACTGGCCCCTTTTCACTCCTCCGGGAACCCGGGTTCCAGCCTCTCCGGGCCTTTGCTGGCTCAGCCGGCCCGTGCTGGCCCAGCCCTGGGGAGGAAGACTGCGCTCGGAGCTCAGCCTGGACGCCCGGCCTGTCCCCCACTGTCACCCCTGGGCTGGCGGGAGGCCTCCCGGAGGGCCTTCCAGGAATCACTTACGGGGTGAATTATTTGAGACAAACCAACTAGATCCCGTGGTGCGGAATTAAATGCAGTGTGGGCCTCTGGGAAGGAGGCATGACAAAGAGCGACTTTATAGCACCCAAGCCCGTTGGAGGGACAGGGCCCTTTAGCCACGATGGCGTCTCTCAGCGTTGGAGCCACAGCGGGACGTGCCAGTTCCCACTCTGCCCCCTCTGCTGGTTTCCACACGCGTGTGCTGTGCGGAGGCTTGACGCGTCCTCGGGGAGCCGAAGCGGCGCTCTTGTTGGGCTAACCAGGGAGGTGCGCCCTGGCCCAGCACGGTGAGCGCAGGTGGGGGAACGCCGCGCCGGGGAAGCAGGCACGAGGCGGCACAGACCCTCCCGGAGGGCGGCCGCCTGTGGACGGGGCACCTCCAGGCACTGAAGACCCTGACTCACGGGACCCGTCCCCGAAGCGTGTGGGCGGAGCGGCCGCCGGCTTCCGGCCCCCACCCAGCACCCACGCGCCGTCCGAGCCCCGAGTGGCAGGTGCCCCTCGGGCCCACACTGGCCGGCCTCACGGGGTTACTGAAACGTATTGTTGCTTATTTCCTCAAGACGAGCGTCGCGTATTTCTGAAAGCAGGGTCGCTGTCTCCTGTTGCCGTCCGAGTCTGTTTCTTGCCCCCTCCCTGGGGCCGTGCGGCCCACACGATGCTCAGATTCTGGCGTCACAGCGTGGAGCAGCCTCCGGTGCCGAGTAACGTGTTTCATGTTAGAGATGAAGGAACGGGCGGGGGCGGACAGAGTAAGGAACAAGAGTTCACAGGTGCACCAACGAGCTGCGCATGGCGCCCACATCCCGCAGTCGTGGGCGACAGAGTGGCGGCTCCGTGTCAGCGTGGAGCCTGCCGGACGGAATCTTAGAGTCCGGCTGGCGGTAGGCGGCACCGGGCGGGTTTCGAGCACGGTCTGCGGTGCGTCTCCCCTCTCTGGCTTGGTTCAGAGGCTGCACCTTACTTGGCTCTTTTTTCTAGGAGAAGTGGGGGGGAAATCTATAGTGAAAACTGGTTTAAAAATCTGCGTTGAGGGGCGCCTGGGTGGTGCAGTCGGTTAGGCGTCCGACTTCAGCCAGGTCACGATCTCGCGGTCCGTGAGTTTGAGCCCCGCGTCGGGCTCTGGGCTGATGGCTCGGAGCCTGGAGCCTGTTTCCGATTCTGTGTCTCCCTCTCTCTCTGCCCCTCCCCCGTTCATGCTCTGTCTCTCTCTGTCCCAAAAATAAGTAAAACGTTGAAAAAAAAAAATTAAAAAAAAAAAAAATCTGCGTTGACGCGACCCATCCTGTGTAAAGACCAGTTCAACTCAGAACACGTGTGGTCAGAGAAGAGCTTGACTCCCCAACATTAAAAAATGACTTTAGAAAAGCCTCTCCTCAAGCGGGAAGATGCAGAGAACCTGCCAGAACAGCGGTGCAAGCACAGAACCGCGAGAAACGCCCGAGCCACGCGGGGGGGGTGTTCTGCCGTCCGGTCGCGCGAGGACAGGTGACCCCATCTGGGTCCCCGGGGGCGGCACGAACCGCACAGACACGGGGATGTCCTGTGTGCCCTGTGTCGGCAGTGGAAGGGATGGGGCACATCAGGCACGTGGCCCTTCATGAAGTTCCCCTGTGGGGAGAGGGGCCCGGGTGCGGGAAGGAGCCCCGGCCCCGCTGGCCTCAAACCACGGGCTTCCCGGCTCTGGCACGTGGTGTGGAGACCCCCTGGGAGTGTCCTGGAGGCGGCTCTCCCAGGACTTGTCAGCGATGCTCACGTCTGTCCAGAAACACACAAAAGGGGCGAGTGGGAGCACAGCCTGAATTCTGCATGCGGAGTCAGTTCCATTCTCGCGAATCTGTTTCCAAAGCAAACAGCCGCTTCCTGTGAGCCGGCCACGCGGGCGCTGCGAATCACAGCTCGGCCTGCACGGCGTCCCTTTCCCCTCGCTTCCTTCCTGCCTGCTTCCGAGGGCTGCGGTGCCTGTCACAGGGCCTTCCTGTTGGAGTGACTGTCGAGCACACGCAGGTGGCGTAAGGAGAGACCGTGCAGCTGAACCCTGAACCTTCACACAGCACGCCTGCCCCGTGGTGCCTGCGACATAGGTGTCGTGACGGCTTCCAGGGAGACCGTTCCCAGACAAAGAGCACATGGCCCGTCTCGGCACGGCCGCAGCTGGGATGTCCCAGCTTCTGTGAACAGCAGAGTGACGGGGTCCACACGCTCCTTCCTAGAGGGAGGGATTCTGGGAAAGGAAGAGCTGAAGGTTCGACGGGTCCGGTCACCTTTCCACGGAGCTGCAGCTCCCACGCTGCGCCTCGCATGCCAGGGCTGAGGGCGCCGAGGCCCCCAGAGGACGTGGAAGTGAGCGACAAACGCAGGATGTGGTTGGGGTGCAGACCAGCGCTGTGGAGGCAGGGGCCAAAGACAGAAGGGCACTCTGTCCAGACCAAGCCAAGCCCTGTTCTTCGTGAAAAACAAAAACTCAGATATTCCCACGAGAGGATCCCCGAGCCTACGAATGGCAGAATCCCCACCAGCTCACGAGCCGCCAGGACCGACGACATCAGCATTCTCACGGGCACGGGGTGCTCAGTGTGCATGTAAATTTTGCCATCCCAAGAAAAAAAAAATGCTGATTTCCAGAAGCAGAGAGAGGAAGCCAGAGACTCGGGGCCCAGGAGGTTCTGCCATGATTCTGCTCCCAGGGTCGTCCCGCTGGAGTTCCGGAGGCTTCGCGTCTGGAGGAGGAGCGGGCGGGTGAAGGTTGGCGTCCACTGGCCAGGCCACGTGTGCAGGGACCCTGCACTCTGTGCGGTGCCAAGGGACAGAGCATAAGCCTGTGAGCTCGGGGCTGCTCGTCAGCGGCCCAGAGGACGTGAGGAGTCACTGGACAGGGGTCCCGAGGACAGCCTGGTGCTGTCATGAAGGGGTTCAGCACAACGCAGAACACTGGCCTGCGCGAGTCGGTTGTTCATCTGTCCTCAAACTACTGCGTTTCGTGGTGGGATTGTGCTGTACGGAAAGCCCTCGGTCTGAAAAAGCTGCAGGGCCTCTCGGATGACAGACGAGGAGGCTGGACTGAGATTCTGCAGACGTGGAGATGAGGGGCCACTTAGGATCAAAGCTAATAAATCGTAAACCGAGAGTCACATCAAACGTTACAAAGTCGCGGACGCTTGAGACGGAGGAGAAGCCTTACACCACGGTCGATTTGTCACCAATGGACCCAAAGCCAGGGAAGTGGGACGCCTGGACTACGGGCCCCATGCTGGGACATCACAGAGGGACTGGAGTTTTCCTCAGCGCCCCTGGGCGTCCCCGACACAGTGGGCCCAGCCCGGGTCGGCCGTCGGGGCCCTTGCTGCAGTGCGGGAGGACTTCCCGGTCTCCGGAGGGGCTGGGAGGTGCCGCACATGCTCTCCGGTGAGCAGTGGGGGTGAGGGAGGGGTGTGGAGGAGGGAACAGATGAGCGGCCTAGTCCTCGGGTCCCCCACTGCGTCATCAGGCAAGACAAGAAGCAGAGACTGCTAGCCGAGGGCTCTCGGGACTGGGGCCTCACCCCCAGGAGAGCTCAATGCAGTTATTGCAGGGAGGCCAGCCTGAATGTGCACCTGCGGCCACGGTGCTCTGAGACCACTTCCGCGACGACCAGGGAGTTGCCCTTCAGAGGTGCAGCTCGACTGAGGAACAGAGCCCTGAATAGCCGTGAGAGTGTCCCACCTGGAAATAATCCGCCGGGGGACAGATTTGGTTGGTTCCCGCACGGCAGCTGGAGCCCGGGGGCCACTGGCACCTCACAAGCCATAGGTGGGGTCAACTTAGGAAAGTTCGGAGCCACCAATGTTCTGGCAAGGAGGAGACTCCCCTCCCCGGTGCTGGCTGCTCCGGCACGCACGCCAGGCTCCATGGGGAGTCTTCGGCTGACCCAGGAGCCCTGACGACGCTGCCCTGTGGCATCCCCAGCAGACACGAGGTTGGAGGTCAGGGTAATCACAGCGGCAGGTGTGGCTGAGCCTGCACCTCGGGTCCCGGCTGCCCGAGAGCACAGGGTGAGGTGGCTCATCCAGGGCCTCGGAGCCTGGTGCAGCACCTCGACGCCCCAGGAAAAGCCCCGGTATGCTCAGGAACCCTCCAGAGCAAAGGAGCCTCCCTGTGACGCGCCTGCCGGGCAGGCCACCTGCCAAAGCCGCCCTCGACTGTCTCGCCCTGGGTGTCGCTTAGGTGTCTGATGCAGGGTCCGACGGCCACCTGCCTGCGGTCATCAGACCAGGATGACCGTGCGTTTCGTGCACACGAGCAGGGAGACCAGACACGGGCAAGCGAGAGAATAAAGGACAGGGGAAGGGTCAGCAGAGCCAGCTGCCAGGAGCCTGTATGGGCACATGGCCATAGCAGGGGGCCGCCCGTGGCGGCTGTTCACCCTGGGATGGGGTCCGCCAGGCCGCCACAGCCCCCTTGGGAGCTGTTGTCACAGGGAGCACGTGGAGGCCACACCGGGATGTTAAACTTGTGGGTGGAGGTGGAATAAGGGACAGAAAGCGTTTCCAACTCTAAAGCAAATTAGAATTACACGTGGAAAGTTCTACAAGGAGGCGGGACCCTCCCGTGTGGCAGCTGGAGCAGGTGTGAGGGACAGGAAGGGAGTCTGGCCCCTGCACGCTCCAGCTCGCCCCGCCGCCCCGCGGACTCGCCTGCACCATCTCTCCCCGCTGCCCACCCTCTGGCCCCGGCGCTGGGGACTGAAGGTTCGCTTGCATAACAGGTACCAGCAGGCATTTCCCCTCCTGGGACAGGATATCCCGGCGCCCTTCAGTCTCTCCCTGACTGTTTAAAGCAGACCAGAGCACAGGAAAAAACCTAACTCTAAAATTAGCAGCGTGGTGGCAGAAAGGCACACGGCTGCGTTCTGTACTGTTTGTCAATGAAACAAGTCTAAACACGGCCAAGTGCATTTCCTTTTTGGGCAAAACAGACCTGTGGGGGTGAGGGCAGGGCGCCACCAGGAGACGCCTGCAGGGGCAGGAGGGGCCCCAGCGCCCCTCGGCGCTCCTGGCTCTTCCCGGCGGCCTCCGCCTGTGTGATGGTCTGTGCGTGGCGGCCCCACGGTCTGGAAACACCCGGGAGAGAAAGCGCCCGCCCCACAGGCAGGACAGACCGCGGGACGGCCTGGGCTGCCGCCAGGCAGCCGGGTTTACCTAACGGGGCCCCCGGGCTGCCTTTTCAAAACTATGTTATCTGGAAACAACACTGTCTTGCTCTGAAGTGAGGGCTCGCAGGAAGTGAGCCCCATTCGACGCCAAACCTGCCATTTCTCTCCCGTAATTCTAATAAAAGATGCCGTGGTCCGTTTGGGCTGCCGCAGGGAGTTACTTCCAGGATCCAGATCTGTCCCTTTCTTTGCTAGGTTGTCACTGAATGTCTGTTCCTAATCTTCCACTTCCTTCTGGGAGGGGTGGAATTTCAGATAAGCTCCCTGTGGTAGGGGTGGGCAGTCTCCACGAGGCCAAGGACCCCGTTTCTGCCTTATGGCCCTAAGGTCAGCAGAGGGCAGAGGGGTAGTCTTCTGAACGGCCGCCGTCCTTTGGGATGCCTGTGTTTCTACCCACAGCCGTGGACGAGGCAAAGAGGCCGAGGTGATCAGACATCCCAGCCCACCTGCCTCTTTAATTCTCAAGACCAGCCTGCTGGGGGCAGACAGAGGGGCCGGTGGGCTGGCGGTTTGCCCCGACCCCCACGGATTGCGGGTGGCAGAGCCGGTGTGCATGCCCGGCACCCCTGCCCCAAGGCGACTCCTTCCTGGAAGCCGCCTGGTCGGCCCTCTGTGCTCCCAGGCCCTGTGGGTGACGGGGCCGTGGGGAAGTGACCGGCCCAGGACCACCCGCCTTCTATGAAAAGGCGCAGGAAGGCCTGTTTCCAATTCCCGATTCCCACCCGGGTCACTCGCAGCGTGTGAATTCCTGCCAGTCGGTCAGCTTCCCTCTCCAGAAAGATAAGGGCCGGGGGCCATTATTCCCGGAATGATTCACTTCAGACTTCCTGCCGTTTCTTTCGCCGGGTTTGTTGGAACTGTACCTTCAACTTTGGGGCCTGCTGCAATTCTCTGCTGGCAGGAGAGGCAAGTGGGTCGGCCGATAACGTCCCCAACACCCTGGCCACGCCGTCCCTGCTTCGGGCCGCGATCGTGCTTTCCCCAGCAGGCAACGGGGGACCCGAACTGCCCCCAGGTCTCGGTGATCAGGAAAACTGAGCCGGCGGCCAGAGCCGAGGGCACGCCAGCAGAGCAGCCCCTCTACTCACCGGGGTCACCTGGACAGCTTCCGTGGCTACCTGCGTGGAACCTCCCAGAAGAGTCGCACTCCTCATTTACGACTCCCACCGCCCCTCTCAGCTTTTCAGGACCACGGGTGCGTCCGCACCCTCCCTGTCCTGCTACCCCCAACAGCCGCCCCTAAGGCCTCGCCACTCTGCGGCCTCCCGGCCCGCTCCCGTGGCAGCACGGGCGGTGGGCTTGGGTGCCAGGACACGGCGCGTATGCTCGGACACTGGTGTCCTCTCTGCTTTTCGCTGCTCACGAAAAAGGGCCTGTGGCTGAGCCAGGCCGGAACCACGAGCTTGCCCAGACCTCCCCGCTAGCACAATGTGAGCAGGGAAGGCAGGGGCGTGGGCTCAGGTGGGGGCTCTCACCCTGCCTGTGCCAGGCTGCTGCACTGTTGCGGGAGGACCGTGAGCCCAGACCACCAGCCACACCGGCTGCGTGGTCCCAGACTGTGGGAAGCAGAGCAGGTCACTCTAGAGCCTCAGCAGCCGGTGTTAAAATGGAAAAAGGCAGGAGCTCAGGAGTGAACAGAAATACCCATCCGGATGCTTCCTGTGTCTTCACTTCCCCATGCGCGTTTTTGTGTCATTCCCACCCCAGCGACGGGCCAGAGGGTGACCCGCACGGGTTGTGGTGACAGGAGAAGGCCACAGTGGGCCCACCAGCCCCCCACGAGCTGAGGGTGCAGTCGCTCTGCCTGCCCGGGGCCCGAGGCTACTTACTCGCCAGCTGGAACGCGGCGGCCATGGCCTCCTCCCAGCACTGTGAATCGGGCGACATCAGGGGCAGGCCCGTCAGACCCAGGACGAAGGTGAGCTGGCCCGCAGCGAGTGCCGCCGTGGCCACCAGGTTGCAGGCGCGCATCATGTCAAACTGCACTGTGAGAACGACAGGGGGAGACAGGCGGTCAGCTCAGGTCGGGACTCCACGTGTGCCCGGAGCCCCGCGGCCCTCTCTCCCTGGCTCCTAGCTCTCCACTCCCCTCGCGCCCCAGGCCCGGGAGCCAGACGCACGGGGGATGCACCACAGACGGGGTCAGGGCTGTGGTGCTGCCTCGAGAGGCCCGTGGAGAGACCTCCCCACGTGCCGGGCAGCAGAGCGCCGGCCTGCAGGAGCGCGCCCGCCGTGAAGCCGGACCCCTACCGCACGGAGCCCCCACCACGAGAGCAGAGGACCGGCCCCACCGGGCCCCAGCCCACGGTGGTATCTGTGACTCGCCCACGGGCGGGCAGGCGGCCTTCAAATTTCGCAGCCGAGGAGCCCAGAGGGAACAGGGCCGCTCCTGCCCACTGTGTGTCCAGCGGCTTCCTCCTTGCCGTTGTCCCTGAGCGCAGACCCGCGCAGAGCTGTAGCAGTCAGGGTGGCCCTGCGGGCAGAGAGGCTTCTGAAAGGAGAGGAGGAGGGAGGGGCCGCGGGAGGATGACAGTCCCCACGGCTGAACACCTTCCGGAGCCGGCAGCTGCCTTTGACCTGGCTTGCTGTGTAGACGGTGAGCGTGGCCGGTTATGCCCTCCCACAGGGAAGACACCGCTCTCTTGCCCTGTGGGCTGACAGCTCACACACCGTGCGTTTCAAAGTCGCCTCGAAAAAGTCCCTGCGGTTGCTAGAAGGCCTGACGCTCCTCTGCCCCAGTAAACGGCAGGGGTGCCAGAGGCCGGACCCGGCGAGTGGGAACTCCTGGTGCAGAGGGAGGCACCGGCACCGGCACCCGCGCTTCCTCGCCTGCCCCCTGGGCTGCGAGCCAGGCTTCAGGCCGATTTGCTCGAACCTTCCTGGCTGCCCACACCGTCTTCGGGGCACAACCCAAGTCGCGGCCAGCCTGACCAGTGGCCACACGTGCGTGCAGGAGACCAGACGGGCCCTGCTGTGCGGACGGAACGGGCTCCAGGCGGGTCCTTCCCGTGCACTGGAAGACTGGCCGGCCTCCCTTCCCGTGGAGGCCCCGCTCTTCGTATGCTCTCTGGGGGGGTCTTCCCGCTCTGTGTTCTTTGCTGTTACTTGTACCGATACGTGACCACACACAAGTTTCTTCCACGCTAAAAGGCGGTCGAACGCGGGAGGTGGGGGCGACCTCAGAGACGAGGGACGGTAAACACGGTGGGCACTAACAGCCCAGGACAGCGGGCACTCTGGTTCAGAGCCAGACCCGGGGGAGGTAAGGCTGGAGGTGCACAGAGGAGAGTGGCCTGCGTGGCCCCGGGAGCCAGGGCCCTGCCCTCCCGCTCGCCCACCCCCAGCTCTCTGTCCCAGTGCACTGCCTGCGGCCCCGCGTGCCGCCCCCACCCCCTCAGCCTCTGCCCCCGTGGACGTGAGGATGTAGGCCAGAGGGTACAGCACCGACTGCCCGAGCCCACTCCCCTGACCAGCCGCGGGGGACCTGCCCGGCAGGCGTCCGCCACGCCCGGGGTACGTGACCCCGTGCATAGCCTGGGCAGCGGCACCCAGCAGAACTGTGACATGAGGACTGAGGCCGGGCAGTGTGATGCACACAGTTGCGCCTGGGGCCCCGGAGCCCTACACGTTTACCCGTGCCGCGCCTCGCTTCAGAAAAAGGCTAGGGTGCTGGACGGAATGCCTGGAATCCGGAGCTGTGAAACACGCGCAGAGAGCCACGCTGCCGGGGACTTGGGTTGTGAGGTCTCCGTGGGAGCTAGGGGAGGACCTCGGGGACGCTGCGTCCCCACATCGCCTCACGGGGACGAAAGCCACCTGAGCAATGGTCCTGGAGGACAGGACCCCGTGTGCATGGGGGGCCAGCCCCGGAGTCCCCGACCCGGCACACTTGGGACACCCTGCAGCGGGGTCCCCTGACCCATCATGGCGGGTGGTCCCTTGCCGTGCTCACTCCGTGAGTGCAGAGTGGCTCTTACCGGGCCACGCAGGGGCCCCCAGAGCAGAGCGGACGAGCGCGTCCACCATCGCCCCACCTGCCTCAACGTCTGAAGTCTCTCGGGCCCCAAGAAGGGAGCTCGGAGCAGATTGAGTCCGGCCTGATGCCACACACGCCTGCCTGTCGCGGACGGAGACGACCGCGGAGCCAGCAGGTGTTCAGGGCTGAGCTGGCAGGTGCTGGCGGAGCGCCGCTGCTCCCTCCTGCCCCATCCCTGCGCCCAGCGGAGCCGCACGCCGGGTGCTGGTGTGACGGGTGGCGGCCGCGGGCCGGGAGATGAGGTGCCAGAGCCCCCGCAGGAGCGCCGGGCGGCGTGCGGTCCGCCCGGTCGCCGCTCCTGCTGCCCTGCGCTCGCGCCCTGGGGCAGGTGAGAAGCGTGTCAGCAGCTCAGTCTCCCTCACGGGAAGCTTCCGTGGCCTTTCCCTCGTTTGCGGCGAATACTTGACACTCGTGTCGGTTAAGGATTAGCTCCACAGATGCCGTACCCGTGGGAGGATGTCCTAGAAGTCTTGCGAGTTGCTGATTGGGTTGTCGGGGGATGCAGGCGGCTGGCCGGGCGGGAAGGGGGTCTGGAGGCAGAGCACGTCCCAACCCGTAAATCCTCCTCCTGGCCTCGGCAAGGGGACAGAGGGTCTGGAC